ATAGTGTCCTTCCTTATCCTTTGTGGTGGATTTTACTTTAAAGTCTGTTTTGCCAGAGATTAATATTGCTGCTCCTGCTCTTTTTTGAGTGTTGTTTCCTTGATAAAGTTTCTTCCATCTTTTGAGTTTTAGCTTGTTTGTGTCTTCAAGCCTAAGGTGTGTCTCTTTTAGGCAGCATATAGACGGATCGTGTTTTTTAATCCAGTCTGGCACTCTCTGTCTCTTTATTCGTGCATTTAGTCCATTTACATTCAGCATAATTATTGATAGGTCTGAGTTTAGTGCTGTCATTTTGCTGTCTTTTTTGTGTGTGTTGTTCACAGTTTCTTTGTTTCTCATAATTTTCTGTGCTGAGTTGTTTTTCTTTATGTATTTTCTTTTCATCTTTTTCATTGTTGTTGATTTTGTGTTTGCTGAGTCTTTATATTTTTCTAGTTTTTTATTTTGATTTGTAGGATTATTGGTTTCCTTTTTGGTTACCTTAATATTTATCCTTATTTTTCTAAGTTTATACCAGTCTTTTATTTTTTTATATCAGCTTGACTTCCCCTCCATATGAAAAGTCGATGTCTACGTTTTTTAAGTCCCTCCTTTTTTGTTTCAATGTTGTCATTTTTTACATATTGATATTTCTGTTTCCCTATTTTCAGTGTTTTAGCTTTGATATATTTTTGTGACTTCCCTGTCTGAGTCGATATCCGGTTGCTTTGTCCTGTGTTTTAGTCTTGCATTGTTATCTGATGTTACTGATTTTCTAACTGGAGGACTCCCTTTAGTATTTCTTGTAATTTTGGTTTGGTTGTTCCAAATTCCCTAAACTGTGTATTTGGAAATGCCCTAATTTCGCCATCATATTTGAGAGACAGTTTTGCTGGATATATAATTCTTGACTGGCAATTTTTTTCCTTCAAGTCTTTATATATGTCATCCCGTTGCCTTCTTGCCTGCATGGTTTCTGCTTAGTAGTCCAAGCTTGTTCTAGTTGACTCTCCTTTGTAGAAGACTTTTCTTTTATCCCTAGCCACTCTTAAAATTCTCTCTTTATCTTTGGTTTTGGCAAGTTTGATTATAATATGTCTTGATGACTTTCTTTTGGGATCTACCTTATGTGGGGTTTGATGAGCATCTTGGATAGATATCTTCTCATCTTTCATGATATTAGGGAAGTTTTCTGTCAACAAGTCTTCAACAATTCTCTGTATTTTCTGTTATTCCCCCCGTTCTCATACTCCAATCCCTCGACGGTTATTTCTGTTGATAGAGTCCCACATAACTCTTAGAGTTTCTTCATTTTTTTAAAATTCTTTTATCTGATTTTTCCTCAAATAAGTCAATGCCAAGTGCTTTATCTTCAGTGTCACTAATTCTGACTTTTACTGCCTCGATTCTGCTCTTATGACTTTCTATTGAGTTGTCTTAATTCTGAAATTTTATTGTTAATTTTCTGGATTTCTGATTGCTGTCTCTCTATGGATTCTTGCAGCCTATTAAATTTGTCATTATGCTCTTGAATAACCTTTTTAAGTTCTGCTACTGCTTTGTCTGTGCGTTCTTTGGCTTTCTCTGTGTTTTGTTGAATTTCCTTTCTAATTTCTTGAAGAGTTCTGTCTATTAATCTTTTGTATTCTGCCTCTGGTAATTCCAAGAAATTCTCTTCCTCCAGAAAATTTATCGTTTCTTTATTTTGGGAGCTTGCTGAAGCCATCATGGACTGCCTCTTTATGTGCTTGGATATTGAGCATTGTCTGCGAGCGATCAATGAGTTATTATAATTTTATTTTATATTTGTTTAGTGTGTCCTAGCTTCTTGTTTTGTTTTGATATGCCCAGATAGGCTGCTCATGTGCACTAGTTTGATTATTGGCACCTTTGAAGCTATAACGTCCTGTCACCAGGTAGTTAGGTCTGTAACTAAGTATGTGTTGCCAGGAGTCCATTAAATTTTCTTGTATGGATTCAGCTCAGGTGTCCCAGCAGTCGGTGACCAAGTGTGTGGTGCAGGCTCTCACCTACAGTCTTAGAGAGGCATACGTGATTGGTGTAGCAAAGGTGTCTGGCTGTAGAAGGGGGTCATGTGCTGAGCAAGGCTGGGGGCTGACGGCTGCCCCTGAGTGTCTGAGAGGAAAGTGTGTCCCTGTTCACTAGAGTGAGTAGGTAGTTGAGTTTTGCAGCCAGACTATGAGCACCCTACTCTGTTGGCTTTAAAGACTCAGGGGCAATGCTTATTCTTGGACCCCTGTAGCAGGTGGCTAGGTGGCGTGGGTGGAGCCACCAGTCCTGAAGCCCCTGATGTGGACAGGTAAGGCACCTGCTTAAAGAACAGAGCAGTGTCAAGTGTCACAAACCTGTCACTTCATGGTTGAAACAGTTGAAGTTAGACTTCCAGTGTTTACCCTTATGTACTGTGGTAGTGAGGGCTTACACTGTTGAGATGGGTCCACACAAGTCTATACAGGGGTAGCAGGTACTCAAAGTCTGCAGACCCCTTATGCCTGTGCTTATGCAAAGGAGCTGTGCCAACCCTGAGTTCCCATCTTAAGGGAGCTGGTAGGTTATCTTTTCCCTGTTTGTTAATTTGTTCCCTCTCTAAGGCCAGGAGAATGGGTCAGGGCACCTTATGGGATCTACTTCTGGCCCAGGGCGCTCAGATCTCTGAAGCTGGCCAGACCCGGTGCAGAGCAGAGAGGGAGGAGGTAAATGGGAGAGAGGTATTTTCCCAAATGGGTTTTTTTTTTTTTTTTTAAATCCCCACGTAAGGCCACATACAAATACTTATCTTTAGCCACTTGGGTGCTGCTTTTCACTGGTTCGGAGTGTCCAGGTAGAATCTCTGCTGCCGGATCTCTCTCGATGTGGAAAGTGTCTCCTGAGCAAGCGAGCAGAACTGTATGCCCGCCTCACTGTGCACCCTGAGCTGATCCGGGCTGAAGGGCTGCAGCTCCGGCTGGGTCAGGTCAGGCAATTCCTCGCTGATTCCGAACCCTCTCTCTCTCCTGCCATCACTCAGTCCGATTCCTCAACTTTGCCTTGTTCAAGGCTCTTAGATATTCGTATACAATGAATTCACTTGTTTTGTTCAGGTCTTCGTTGTGAGAGGAACATAGGAAGTGGTCTGACTACTCTGCCATCTTGGCCCCGCCTTCTGGCCGTGTTGATTCTTGCTGAGGGCTTTGAGAGAGAAAATGTTCCATGCCTCACTCTAGTGTCTGGTGGCTGCTGGCAATCTTTGGTGTTCCTTTGCTGCTTTAGCCTTCATTGTCACCCAAAAAAAAAAAAAAAGTGTAATTTACATTATTTTAATTTGTCAGATTGAGCCTTCATCTGTCATTCACTCTTCATTGGTGCTTCATCCATCATCTGTCTCTCTGTGTCTGTCCTGGGATTTTTAAGTAAATTTTAAATGTTATAAATATTAGCAGAAAAATACACATTTAACATACAAAAAAACAAACAAAAATATCTTGCTTTTCTTCTGTCTGTTGTTTTGGGTTTCTCGTTAAGGAAAGTAAATTATGTAATCAGTTAATAGAACTATAACCATATATCAGATTGGTTTTTTAGCATTATAGATGATTAAATCCCATAATCAGCATTTAAATGGGAAAACAAACCCAGTGGTATAAACATGATTCTCACTTGTATTCAATAATTGTTTAAAATGCACATATTATTAATAACTTATATATTGAGGTTCTAAATAACTACACAGCTTGCAGCTTGTGCAGGTGCTGAACGAACATAAGACTATATAAAAGTGTGCAGAGGATGAGCAAAAAAGATGAGTATATGAGTAAAACTGGTATTTCCAATTAGTCGAATGGTGGCTTAGAAAGTCAGATAATTGGCAACATGAGTTTCAAATCTGACGTCTAAACTCAGACTCATCCACATTTTTTTGACAAGCTATAAACTAATATATTACTCTGAAAATTTTCTTTTAATTGTTATGTGTTACAGGCAGTAAGCACAGACCCTGTCCCAGTGAAACTACACTATGATAAATCACATGACCAGGTCTGGGTGCTCAGCTGGGGTACTATGGAAAAGACGTCACCCACGCTACAGGTACGTACACCTGAGTGTGTGTGAGCAAACAGCCATCTTTACACTGGTACGTATCTCATTGGCGATTTAGGACTGTTTTAACAGTGACACTATTTTAAAAGAGGAGAGTGGGATGCAGCATGTAGCATACAACCATAAGAGTTACAATCTAGCCTCAAAGCAGGCATCGTTTCTCCCCAAATGGATAGTATTTCATTATCTGATCACATCCTCATTTCTAATGGGGTAATCTCTGCTGTCATTTTTGTGGAATTTGCTTCTGCTTTGACCTTTTGGTGCAGTGGTTAAGAGCTTGGCTGCTAACCAAAAAGTGGCAGTTCAAATCCACCAGCTGTTCCTTGGAAACACTGTGGGGCAGTTCTACTCTGTCTTATAGGGTCACTATGAGTTGGAATTGACTCAGCAAATCAACAGGTTTAGTTTGGTTTGGTTTTGAAGTTTATTATGTAAGAACGTGGCCAGCAAAGAAAAGAATATACGGATTTTAACAATGACTCTTGGGCATAATTGAGATTTTTGGAGTTACAAGTTAGAAAGAAATCAGAGTGGGAATAGGTAAAAAAAAAAAATTGCCCCTGTAAATGTGGTTTATATTATTGTTCCAATCATCTTGTGATTTTATTACTGCCTTGGCTTTGATGCTGCTTACCAGGCCCTAAATCATGAACCTCTGGTCATTTTTCAGTAACATCTGTTGAAGGCAATGTGTGTGTGTGTGTGTGTGTGTGTTTTGATTGGTTTTCTGTATTGATACTTTTAATGTTTGCGAGGTAATTTCAGTATTGAGATATTTAGCTTATAAGTGACAAGTCTATTTGAATGAAATATTTTAAAAGAACTATCAGAATGATGGCTCGTTTTATATTTTGCTAGAAATGTATGCTATTTGAAACATCTAAAATAGAATATAGTACGTATTTAAGTTATTTATTCTTGCAAATCTGACCACCCCAAAATTGGATGTCCAAAGAATAAGGAAAAATGATTTATTATTACTCACAAGGCCGTGGCTTGCAATGCGGGTTCTCCCGTTAGTCTCATCCAGGATCACTCGTGTGACTGTAGTCATAACTCGGCTGGAGCCGGAGATTTCCCAAATGGTCCTTTCTCTCATGTCTGGGAGCCCTGGTGGCACAGTGGTTAAGAGCTCGGCTGCTAACCAAAAGATCGGCAGTTCGAATCCACCAGGCGCTCCTTGGAAACCCTATGGGGCAATTCTACTCTGTCCTACAGGGTCGCTAAGAGTTGGTTTTGACTCGACGGCAACGGGTTTTCTCGCGTCTGAGCCATGGTCACTTTGGTGCCTTGGGTTTCCTGCACGTGATTGCTCGTAATCTAGATCGGCATCTTCACAGCATGGTGATGTCAGGTTTCAAGAAACAGAGTGGCAGCGGCAAGACCAATTAAGTCTTTGCTGCAGAGCTCACACAAGGTCAGTTCTTCCACAACCCATTCATCAAAGCAAGTCACACCTACAAACCCACATTCAAGAGGGTGGAGTAATACACTCAGTCTCTTGATGGGAGAAGCAAAATCTTCACATCTTGGGCAATTTTTATCATGGTCTATACAATATGGTAATTGGGTTTAGTTATTTGCTATTTTGTATATGAAGCATAGTCTTGGCAAGATAAATAAAATAGTTGAACATTATAAAATTTTAAAACATATGATTCCTATGAATTATTTTATTACTATTAACTTTAAAATAAAATGCTTATGAAGATTAAAAAACAATTTTTTAAGTTGTATTTATTTTCAATATACCAAATTCTTCCATATAGATTCCACCCCCCAACCCTTGACACCCTCTGATGTATGCTATTTGGATAGATTCGTAACTTTTCTAGTTTTTCAATATTTCCAGAAAGCAGTTTAGGCAAACTGTTGATATCACATAGAAGGAAAAAAAAAAAAATCTAGTGATTGAAAGCAAATTCGTACACATTATCCAGCCCTCCAAAAATGGGTTCTTTATTTTCTTCTGAATGTCTATTAAGAAAAAAATAAGTTAGAATTTGGTGAACATTTAAAAATATTTGATAGAGGACAGTGACTGGTAAGTCACGCACCTGAACATATACAATACAGTACAAAACTTGAAAATACCCTTAAAAATAGTACATGCAAGAAGAGTTATTCATTTATGGTTTTTATAACAGAAAGAGAGAAAGGAAAGGGAGAGAAGATTGATCTTGACAGGAAAAACAGAGAAAAATACATTTATTATTCAAGGAGCATGTTAGTGTGCATATCCTAAGCCAAAGTCCCCATGAGGTGATGCAGTGAGAGCCTAACATTGCTGCACACATGCACCATGGTTGCAGTAGAGGAGTAAAACCTTGATATTATAGTCTCTACATGTTCAGCCAGATGGATCCTGGCTAAAAGCAGAGAATACAAGAAAGATGTTTACCTGTGTTTTATTGACTCTGCAAAGGCATTCAGCTGTGTGGATCATAGAAAAATATGGATAACATTGCCAAGAATGGGAATTCCAAAACATTCAATTGTGCTTGTGAGGAACCTGTACATAGAGCAAGAGGCAGTTGTTCGAACAGAACATGGGGATACTGCATGATTTAAAGTCAGGAAAGGTGTGTGTCGGGGTTGTATCCTTTCACCATATTTATTCAATCTGTATGCTGAGCAAATAATCCAAAAAACTGGACTATATGAAGAAGAAGGGGGCATCAGGATTGGAGGAAGACTTATTAACAACCTGCATTATGCAGATGACACAGCCATGCTTGCTGGAAATGAAGAGGATTTGAAGCAATTACTGATGAATATCAAAGATTATGGCCTTCAGTGTGGATTACACCTCAACATGAAGAAAACAAAAATCTTCACAACTGGGCCAATAAGCAACATCATGATAAACAGAGAAAAGATTGACGTTGTCAAGGATTTCATTTTACTTGGATCCACAATCAACACCCATGGAAGCAGCAGTCAAGAAATCAAAGGACACATTGCATTGGGAAAATCTGCTGCAAAAGATCTCCTAAAAATGTTAAAAAGCAAAGATGTCACTTTGAAGACTAAGGTATGCCTAATTCAAGCCATGGTATTTTCAATCACCTTATATGCTTGGGAAAGCTGGACAATGGATAAGGAAGACCAGTGAGAATTAATGCCTTTGAATTGTGATATTGGTGAAGAATATTGACTATACCATGGACTACCAGAAGAATGAACAAATCTGTCTTGGAAGAAGTACAACCAGAATGCTCCTTAGAAGCAGGGATGGCAAGACTTCATCTCACATAGTTTGGACATATCATCAGTAGGAATCAGTCCCTGGAGAAAGACATCATGCTTGGTAAAGTAGAAGGTTAGTGAAAAAGAAGAGGACCCTCAAGGAGATGAATTGATACAGTGGCTGCAACAATGGGCTCAAACATAGCAACAATTGTGAGGATGGCATAAGACTGGACAGTGTTTCATTTTGTTGTACACAGAGTCGCTAAGAGTGGGAACTGACTCAACAGAACCTAACAACAACGCATTTATATAGGTTGCTGGCATATAGGCAGATCCTCTTTTCTGGAGAGAAAAAGAGAGATTTTTACTCTGAAGTTTTTGTAAATCATCTCCAGGGAGTTATTCTGAAATTCAGTAGCTCTCTCAGAAATTACTCTGAAATGTAAGCAAATTGCAAATTTCTCAGTCTCTCCAAACCAATACATTATCTGTAGCTTCCAAGAAATGTTGGCTATACCATTGTCCTTTAACAAAGTTTGTCAAAGGCTTTGCTCAGATAAAGTCCAGACTGTGGAGAAATGTGAAAATACTCATGGATTATCTCCCAAAAGGGTTATCAGGAAATATCTAAAAAAAATAAAAAAGGGGGGAGGATTTAAAATGTGTTTGAAAACGGCTCCAGACAGATGGGGTGGCAGTGGGAGGTGGTTGCTATCGGTTGTTGGAAGCCATCACACATGGAGAGCAGGACCAGGGTGCCACTAGGAATGAATCAAGGGTTCTTACAAGATCAGACATATTGACTAATAGATCAATCAGATCAATCTGTGTGTCCTTGCAGTCAATCGACTCTAACCTGACCTTGGTTATCCGACATGATCTGTTGAATTCCAGAGGCACAGAAAACCTAGAATCAACAGGGAAGAAGGTCTAGACTGAAGAGAGCTAGGGAAGCAGCATTGTATTTTTTCTGACCTAAGACTCTGCCAAGCACAAAAGTGATATTCAATAAATATCCCTTTAGTGAAATGAAGTGTTTTTGCTTAACTTTCACTGCTAATTTACTTCACTTTTTATAATGGTGGTCTCTCTGTCACTAAGTTGGGATTATAATTCTTCCATTTGACGGAATACCAATTAAGACATTTCAACAAATGGATGCCATTCTGGAAGTCCTCACTTGTCTATGCCAATAAATTTGGTAGACAGTTACCTGGCCAGCTGACTAAAAGAGATCCATATTTATGCCTATTCCCAAAAAAGGTGATCCAACCAAATGCGGAAATTGTCTTACAATATCAATAATATCACACACAAGTAAAATTTTGCTAAAAATCATTCAAACGTGGCTGTACCAGTATATCAACAAGGAACTGCCAAACTTTCAAGACAGATTCAGAAGAGGATGTGGAATCAGGAATATCATTGCTAATGTCAGGTAGATCCTGGCTGAAAGCAGAGAATACCAGAAAGATATTTACCTGTGTTTTATTGACTATGCAAAGGCATTTGACTGTGTGGATCATTACAAATTACTGGTAACATTGCCAAGAATTGGAATTCCAAAACACTTAATTGTGCTCACAAGGAACCTGTACATAGATCAAGAGGCAGTCGTTCGAACAGAAGAATGGGATACTGCATGGTTTAAAGTCAGGAAAAGTGTGCATCAGGGTTCTATCCTTTAGTCACATTTATTCAATCTGTGTGCTGAGCAAACATTCTGAGAAGCTGGACTATATGAAGAAGAACAGGGCATCAAGATTGGAAGAAGACTCATTAACAACCTGCGTTATGCACGTGACACAACCTCGCTTGCTGGAATTGAAGCGGACTTGAAGCACTTACTGATGAAGATGACACCTCAACATGCAGAACACAAAAAATCCTCACAACTGGACCAATAAGCAACATCATGGTAAACGGAGAAAAGATTGAAGTTGTCAAGGATTTCATTGTACTTGGATCCACAATCAACACTCATGGAAGCAGCTGTCAAGAAATCAAAAGATGCATTGCATTGAGCGAATACGCTGCGAAACACCTCTTTAAAGTGTTGAAAAGCAAACAAGTCACCTTGAAGACTAAGGTGCGCCTGACCCAAGCCATGGTGTTTTCAATCACCTCCTAAGCATGAGAAAGCCGGATGATAAATAAGGAAGACCGAAGAAGAATTGATGCCTTTGAATTGTGGTGTTGGCGAAGAATATTGAACATAACCACGGACTGCCAAAAGAACAAACAAGTCTGTCTTGGAGGAAGTAAACCAGAATGCTCCTTAGAAGCAAGGATGATGAGACTATGTCTTACACACTTTGGACATGTCATCAGGAGTGATCAGTCCCTGGAGAAGGACCTCATGCTTGGTAAAGTAGAGGGTCAGTAGAAAAGAGGAAGACCCTCAAGAAGATGGATTGACACAGTGGCTGCAACAATGGGCCTAAGCATAGCGATGATTGTGAGGATAGTGCAGGACCAGGTATTGTTTTGTTCTGTTTTACACAGCATCCCTATGAGTTGGAATCAACTCTATGGCATCTAACAACAACAAAGACTTTGTAGTGTTATTTGAAAGTAGAATGGAGAAATGCCTGTAAATTACTTTGACCACCTAACGGCTCATAGCAAGCTCTTAGTAAATACTATTATGGCTGCTATTAATGTAATTATTATTACTGATTTAAAATATGTGAAAGTATATTTTTAAAGTTATACACTTTTATACAAGAAGAGATCACTGTGCGGTGCAAACAGTTTGCGTTCAGCTACCAATCAAAGTTTGGCGGTTCGAACCCAGCCAGGGACATATTGGAAGAAAGACCTGGAAATCTGCTGCCATAAAAATGGTTGTTGTTGTTGTTGTTAGGTGCTGTCGAGTGAGTTCTGACTCATGGCGACCCTATGTACAACAGAACAAAACACTGCCTGGTCCTGTGCCATACTCATAATCATTGCTATTTTTGAGCCCATTGTTGTAGCCACTGTGTCAATCTGTCTTGTTGAGGGTCTCCTTCTTTTTCTCTGACCCTCTGCTTTACCAAGGATGATGTCCCTATCCAGGGACTGGTCCCTTCTAATAACATGTCCAATGTAAGGGAGATGAAGTCTCCACATCCTCGCTTCTAAGGAACATTCTGGCTGTACTTCTTCCAAGACAGATTTGTCCATTCTTCTGGCAGTCCATGGTATAGTCAATATTCTTTGCCAATATTTACTATGATGCATAATTCAAACGCATCAATTCTTCTTCAGTCTTCCTTATTCATTGTTCAGCTTTCGCATTCATTCGAGGAGATTGAAAATGCCGTGGCTTGGGTCAGGCCCACCTTAGTCCTCAAAGTGACATCTTTGCTTTTTAACATCTGTGAAGAGTATATCCAAGAAAGCCCTATGAGCTCAGTTGTACTCTTTAACACATGGGGTTTCCATGGGGTGGGGCCCACTCGACAGCAGCTAACGACAGCAACAATAACAACATACAATAAAAAGAAAAGAAAATGTGTAGAGTTCCCACCTTGTTACTTGTTCTTTATGAAATTCTTGTAATTATTATTGTAGAATGGCTAAAATCCAGTGACAAATTTCAAGTTATATTCTCAATTAACAAAATTTGTATGGTGTTGTTAAAGCTTTTTATCAAGTATTTTTGACTATTTTTTCTGGCACTTGGTATGCCCATATTGATTTAGGTGGGCGCCATGTGATCAGTTCTGGCTAAAGATTGTGATGTAAATTAAACATTTAAATGGACAGCTACTCTCTCAGACACCTGGAATCAAGGAGGAAAGATCCTACCAAATTGCTCTGGGAAAGTCACAAGTGAAAAGCAAAAAAAAAAAATTCTATTTTAAGCCACTAAGACTTTGTTTTGTTGTTATTCTGTTTTGTTTTAACTGGAACAAAATATAGCCTATCCTCACTTCTACAATAATTAATCTATTTTGAACTAATATGGTGATTTTCAATGGAACTCAATAGAAGTATACTTGTTTCAATTAAGAAAATACGGCTTTTCTGAAAAACGAAAGTAAAAGTGAGTTTTTAACTTCTGTCATAAAAACCAAAGGACAAGACTCAGCTGTGAATAATAAAACTCTGTTTAAATTAAAGAATAGTTTAGGAAGTATAGTTTGGTGACCAAATATAGAAAGTATTAAGAAGGGGAAAAAATAAAGATGGGAGGGCCTTTTTAAGGCTAAAGCAGAATAATGGTTATGTGCAGCAGGGGGAATAGAAAGGAACAGACAGGTATGAGAAATTGGAAGGAAGAACTGATAGATTTGGTAAACAATGGAATAGAGGAAAACAAGTTCAGATATAGTGATCTTTCCTTCAATTGACTATAAAACCATAAAAACCAGCTAAGGTTGAAAATTTAGATAAGAGAAACAGTTTTTGATTAAAACTTATAAATCAGTTATGTTCAATCTTATAGAAGGAAAACATTTGAAAGTATGGTTTAATCTATTTTAAGATTCTTAAATGCTAAAATATTTCATATGATTTATTTTGGAGTTTTCAGCCCTACGTGACAGATCTGTTTTATTAGAGAGGTTTTCTCACTACTATCTCATTTAAATCACCTTAACTGTTTAAAAATTATTATTATAGCAAGCTTAACATTTTTATAATAGAGAAGTTGTATATAGGTTTTATATTTTTATCAGAAAATATTTAAATTTAAAAAAAATTTCTTTATAGAAACAGAAGTTTCTATATTGAAAATAAGTGAAATAATTACAGAATTGCAATGTGGTTAATAATATACAAATTTTGAGGATGGTAGTAGAGAGTTTTTGAAAACAATGCCAGAAATGCCAGAAATAGATTGATTTTCTCTCTAAATAAATTGAAGCTCTTACTGTTTAGCTACCGGAGTGCCTTACAGAGGTCTCTGACACAGGTGTTCTGTTTAGGTGATCACCCTAGCCAGTGGCAATGTGCCCCACCACACCATCCACACACAGCCGGTCGGAAAGCGATTTGACAGAGTGGACGATTTCTTCATTCCCACCACCACGCTCATCATCACACACATGAGGTAAGTGCTAACATGAGTGATTGACGTTTCAGTGTGTCTCTAGTTTTAATGAATAACTGCATGAAATCATAAAACAATTATTTTAGTTCTAAAACAGACACAGGTGTATGTGACTTAGCTTTGTCTCATCTGCTTGATGAACCTGTATTTGTCAACCTGGTATTTTCCTACTGATGAACTTCCCATCACATATTTCTTCATCTGCCTCACAGAGAAGGGAATTTCTAAAGATGCAGTTGTGTTTGATATCAATTTAAGTTAATGTTTTTGTGAATTCCCACTGGAGCTCTTCATATTAGGCTCTTCGGAATACTGATGTTTCCTGAATGACTTCTTAAGATGAGAGGTTGTTCACAGCATAGTTCATGATTGTGGCATATAAATTTATCCCATATATTATTATAAAATCCTAAATCAACTTGTGCCCATATCAAAATTAATATAAAATTTTATTAAGAAGTATAATACGTGGAAAAGAAATGTTTGGGATTTGCATTTCGTTTGAGAAAATGTGTCGGTGTTTTCCGTGTCTCTATATATTTACAGAAGGTGACGGGTAATAATACTGTCTAATACCATCAGTCTAAAGTTTCATAGAAGCTTTTTAAACATGCTCAAAGGGACAACACTGACATATCACAATGTCTAGTACTATATTTTTTAGTTTATTGAAACAATTTTAAAATATTTTCTTTGCAAAATGATAAAAAGCAATTTGAAACAAACTAATATTTTTTCCTGTCCTTCAACTGAATTCTGAGGTGACAGAACTCTCTAGATATGTGATAGGAGCAATTATTTGATCCTTGTCTGTATTTTTTCTTGTACTAAAATGAAAATTATGTCATCTAAAAAAATGGAGTTGAGAATTCAGAATTCTGTTGAATTTAACTCTGTTGAATTTAACAGAATTCTGAATTCAGCAATGAAATTTACAAAAATAAAAATAGAGATTGATAAACAAGAATTGTAATTCACAGTCAAAAATACCAGAAAATATTTCTCGCTCAGCCAAGATTTTAGTACTTGTCAAGTAATTGACTATTATTTTAGGAATTTCTATTAATATGCTCAGCAATAAAATGATCAACTGTAAAATCCTGTCAAAACCTGTTACATGTTCGTATAGTAAATAAGTAGCACTTAAAATTGCAGAATACTTGAAAACTATTTACATCAAAGTAATGATTTTGAGGTTCCGCCTGCAAGCGCCATAATAGTTCAAAGACAGAAGACATCAGTGTGTGAGCTGAAACTGGTAGCAGCCAAGATGGAAACTAACTAATATATAAAGTTTGTATACTTATCTGATGAGGATAAACTTTCATATAATTGTCACTGGGTTTGTGATTAACAAATATTCTTTTGTAATTTTCAATAATTATTTTAAAGTTGTTGACAGATTATTACTAATCACTTCTTACCAACTGTACTAATTTTAATTACAATTATTACTAATTGTATATGCAGTACTAGATTTTATTTATCCCATTTTTTATTGCCTATTACTGTGCTTACTGTAGTATTATTACATTGGCTTATTCTTTTCTGAAAACATGATATTAATGTATGTATTTGTTTAATTCCAGTTTCTCTGACACTGTTAGTCCCTGGGTGGTGCAAATGGTTAAGGCCTGGACTACTAACCAAAAGGTTGGCAGTTCAAACCCACCCAAAGATACCTCAGAAGTAAGGTCTTGTGATCCGCTTCTGAAAACCCTGTGGAGCCGTCCTACTCTGCACACTTGGGTTGGCCATGAGTCTGAATTGACCCTATGGCAACTAACAACAATATGACACTTCTAGAGACAACACTGTATGATTGTTTATTTTTCCCACAACATGAACATTATCATCGTGTTAAAATAGCTACCAGAGGAAGACTATATACCGATGCAGCAAGTTCTGTGTATAACCCTGTGTTCCTAGATAACTGATATACCTTTATGACATAGCATCTTTTTTTTTTTTTTTTATTGTGCTTTAGGTGAAGGTTTACAGAACAAATATTTTCTCATTCAACAGTCAGTACACATATTGTTTTATGACATTGATTAATAACCCCATGACATGTCAACACTCTCCCTTCTCAACCTTGGAGGACCTTTTTTTTTTGGTGAAAATATATATAGCCAAAGATACACCATTTCAAAAATTTTGACATGTACAATTCAGTGACATCTATTACATTCTTCCAGTTGTGCTGCTATTCTCACTTTAGATGAAGGTTTACAGAACAAAATAGTTTCTCATTAAACAGTTAGTACACATATTGCCCTATGACAATGGTTAACAACCCCACTACATGTCAACACTGTCCTTACTCAACCTTGGGTTCCCTATCACAGGCTTTCCTGTCCCCTTCTGCCTTCTAATCCTTGTCCCTGGACTGCTGTGCCTCATTAGCTCCATTTTGGTTTATGGGGCTGTCCAATCCCCGGCTGAATGGTGAACCTCAGGAGTGACTTCACCGCTGAGCTAGAAGGGTGTCGGGTGGCCATACTCTCGGGGTTTCTCCAGTCTCTTGTCAGGCCAGTAAATATGGTCTTTCTGTGTGTGTTAGAATTTTGTTCTACATCCTTCTCAAGCTCTGTCCAGGACCCTCTGTTGTGATCCCTGTCAGAGCAGTCAGTGGTGGTAGCCGGGCACCATCTAGCTGTACTGGACTCAGTCTGGTGGAGGCCTTGGTAGCTGTGGTCCATTAGTCCTTTGGACTAATCTTTTCCTTGTATCCTATTCTCTTCATTCTCCCTTGATCCTGAAGGGGTGAGACCAGTGGAGTATCTTAGATGGCTGCTTACAGGCTTTTAAGACCTCAGATGCTACTCTCCAAGGTAGAATGTAGAACATTGTCTTTATAAACTTTGTTATGCCAATTAAGCTAGATGTTCCCCGAGACCATGGTCCCCACAGCCCTCTGCCAAGCAATTCAGTCCCTCAGGGAGTTTGGATGTCTATGGAGCTTCCATGACCTTTCCTTGTACAAGTTATGCTGGCTTCCTCAGTATTGTGTACTGTCTCACCCTGCACTAAAGTTACCACTTATCTATTGTACGGCATAGCATCTTTTTTAGGCTTGGAGTGATTACTATGTAGATGGACTTGGAGCTAATAATATAATAATATCCAAATAATGCCAACAAATATAAGACAAAATTATAATTTGTTCTATATATTATGAGAAAGACTAAAAATATACTTGAGGATATTTTTAGACATTTTTATCCCGTAAGTGCCCTGGTGGCTCAGTGGTTAAGTGCTCGACTGCCAACTGAAAGGCTGGTGGTTTGAATTAACCAGCTGCTCCGCAGGAGACAGATGTGGCAGTCTGCTTCTGTGAAGATTTACAGCCTCAGAAACTCTATGGGGCAGTTCTACTCTGTCCTATACGGTTGTTATGAGTCTGAATAGACTGTATGGAAATGGGTTTGGATTTTTTGGTAGGAATTTTTAGTGACCTGCGGAGTATTTTGACAAAACTTCTAAACGTACTAAATTAAATTATATCAATACTACTCACATACAAATTCCCATTTTAATGAACGTGAATGATCTTCAGATTCCCTAAAATGCACCTTAAAACAACTATTCTTACTGCTACAGTGAATGGTAAGAATAAGAACATGTATTTCCAAAAATAAAGTATGTGAAGTATTCAAACATCATGAGAGTTTATTCCACATCAGTAAACTTGAGGGACACATATGTTTATTTTTCCTCTTATCAATTTCATGAAACATAGTTCTAAGCATATTTGGTATGTTTTTAAGTATATGTTGCTGACACTGAATTTTTTATGTGATGTTCAGAATCTGTGACTACTTTCTGACTGATTTGCTCAGTGGATATTCCCATGCCAGGCAGAGGGTCTGCAAGGCACATAGTATGTGCTCACTTAATCTCAGTTTCTTTCCTCTGCCCTGCATCGCGTTAATCTGCCTCTCTTTCAAACCGCTACTCTTTATTTCCAATAATTTCTCTCTCTCATGGCTGAAAAGCCCTTGGACAAGTTTCAGGATTTTGTATCCTCAGAGCCTAGAAACTGGTAAGCATTTAAATAATTAATTAATTTCTCATAGGAACGGAAGTA